GAAATGAATTAAGATACTTTTCACTAAAGAAAAGTAAAGTAAAGAAACCACTACATAATCACAACCATTAATTATCCAGTAAATGGAAATAATTTATTTGAGTACAAATTAGAAAAATTCATTTTCGAGATTAGCTGGAAGAGAACCCCCTCCTAACACCACCCACCCCCCAAAAGAAAAAATTTGTTAATTCTTATTCTTTAGGGTATATTTGGTTCTCTTCCATGAAATAAAGGGAACCTATTTCCGTGCTAACAAAAAAATATTAAGCTTCTATTAATTTATTGGAAAAGTGATTTTTTTTTGGGTTTTCACCCTAGATTCATGGGTGGAAATATGTTCATTTAGATCTTTAGTTTGGATGGAATGCACAAAATAGGAAATAAACATTTCAAAAAATGGAGAGAATTTTTTAAGTTCATCAACGTCTAAAGTGACGTAGCAAACCAAACAGTTTTTTGGATTACAACCATAACTATGCATCTCACAAAAAACACTTTCCTCCCATGATTTAAGGGCGAAGCAGATTTTCAGAGAAACACTTAGAGAAGCCAAGAAAGAATTTCTGGATTGGAAATAGCTTTTCCTTATTTGTTGGAAAGTAATTCACAAGTTCATGTAATCCTTGAGGTACTTTAACTCTCACAAACTTCCGGTGGCAATAATCTCAAACTAGAAAGTGAACACAATGATGACATCTAGGCTTGTCCAAACGGGCCGGTCCAGCGACCCGGGCCCGGGCCGGCTCAGTCATTTTCTTTTTTTGTTAAAAAATTTTAATAGTAAATAACAATAAATTAAGCAAAATTTTGATAAAAAATCAATCATATTATTAATCACTTGTAATTATATAATTTACAAATATAAAAATTATAAAAATTAAAATAATAAAAATAAATTTTTATTAATAATCAGTTAATCACTAACAATTATAAATTTATTTTAGAATTTGTCGTATCACAATAGATGAATACATTCTAACTAGGTTAGCACATACTCATCTATATCACTATCATTTGCAACTCTTTCCAAAATAATTTATCATAAATTTTCAGCTAAGAAATAAAAATATCAAACTAATGAACAATTTCTACTCTTTATCTCTATTTGCTATTCCTAACTCTCCAAGTTTATCTTCAATACTAGTCATCTGATCGATGCCTTGAGTTCTCTTCTCGTACCTCCACCAATGTAGGCACATTACCGCCTTACGGTAGACGGATCTAATAATGTCCTGTGGTCATCGATCAAATGTCCTAATGTACTGAAAGCGGATTTTGAAGCTACCGTGAAAACCTGTACTGTTAGTAAGTCATGAGCCATGATAGAAAATATAGGATATGAAACTGTTCCATATACTCTTCATCATTATAAAATATCGAAACTATTATTTTGACTTTTAACTAATGATAAAGTTAAATATTGTTCAATTTTAGAAACTTCCATTGATGATCCAGATCCACCGGTTAGCTGAGCTATCAATAATTCTCTATCAAAACTCTTACTTTTGCAATAAGCTGTAGGCTGATGTGTACTTACACCATATCTAGCTGGATACTCATCATATAATCTTTGAAAATAAGTTTTAATAGTATAATGATGAGTAAGAGCAATAATAGTTTGACCATCATCAGTGTCTATTATCATGTTTCCATACAAAGAATTTAACAAATTTCAAAGGCCAACATCATTCAAATATGGATCAATAAGAACCCCCAAACCAAAAATAATAGGAATAGGCCTAAAATATTTATTAAATTTACTTCCCATATGAAAAATCATATTTCCAAAATAATTATCCATATGATAATTATTAAAAAAAAGTTTGAATATTTAAAACTTGTAAAGCAGCTTGAATAATAGTTGCATAATAACAACTAGATAATAACATAGTAGCATCATAAAAAACTTGTAACATCTCTTTTACACTATATATAACTAACCATTCAAACATAGTAGCATCATAAAAAACTTGTAACATCTCTTTTACACTATATATAACTAACCATTCATCCTCAGTTATTCCATACATATTACAAAACTTGTAACATCTCTTTTACACTATATATAACTAACCATTCATCCTCAGTTATTCCATACATATTACAAGACTAGAACTAGAAGTATAGAAAGCAATAAAATTATTTATAATTTCTTTATACTCTATTTCTATATTTAACATTGCGTAGGTAGAATTCCACCTATGGTCAACATCTTTTGGAATTAATCTGGGTTTAAAAATTTTCTCTTTTACACAATATTTCCATCTTTTAAGTCTATGTTCAGAAGCATTATGAGCATAAGTTATTGTTCTAACATTTTTTATCATGAATTTACCAAATACTCTTTGAATAATTAAATTTAAAATATGACATATACATTAAATATGAAAAATATCACCATGACATGGCAATAGCAAAGATGTTTTGATATGATCAACAACTACATTATTATTACTTGTATTATCTAGTAAAACAGAAAATATTTTTTCTAATTTTTTTTAATTTATAAGTTCTTTTATTATTAAATTTGCAATATTAATACCATTATATGAATCTTCAAATGCAATAAAAGAAATAACTCTTTTAAACATTTGATAATTATCATCAATCCAGTGTGTCGTGATATATAAATAACCAGTTTATGCTCTAGATGTCCAAATATCAGAAGTTAAAGAAAATTTATAGTTTAAACTTTGAAAATAAGAAATTATTTTTTATTATTCCTCGTGATAATATTTAAAAATATCACGGTGACAAGATTGCCAAGAAATTTTTTTAAATGAAGGATAAAAACATAGCTTCAAATTCATCATCTTCTACTAATTTAAAAGGAAAATTTTTAAGAATAATAAACTTGATGACGCATTTCTTGACTTTAATTGTGTCATAGTTCCAACTACCGAGACTACCGAATGATGAGGATTGGGAGAGTAAAGATTGTTTTGAGGCGTTGTCTGAACTCTGTTGTGATTTTCTAAATGGCGTTTGAGATGGTTGGTGTCGTTTTTATGATGAGCTTGGAAAATATGGCCGCACAACACACACTTAGTCTTCTGGGTGAGAAACCTACCGTGTTGATCCCTGGTGACTTCTATCTTCTCGAAGAAGTTCCACACATCGGATCCCGGACTTTTAGGAGCTTTAGGTGCAGAATCATCGCCACCGGATTCGTGATCAACATCGATAGGAGGAGTAATTGTAGCTCGTGTAGTAGGAGTATTAGGACTCGTTTTAACATCGGGAGTTGGGATTTGCCCTTTATAATCAGAGAAGGAAGCTATTTGATTGAAGAATTAGAGAGCAAAAGAGAGATTAAGAAAGTATTAGAGAGTATTAGAGAGAAGTAGATGAATTTTAGATGAGAAAAATAAATGAAAACTCCATCTATTTATATAGGCAATTCCCTAGCCAAATGACCAAAAATACCCTCAAATTTGACTTTTTTTACCGTTTTTGTAGGTATTTTTGTCAAAATCACAAATATGGCCGTTCAGACCGGGCCCGGGCCAGACCAC